CAGCTCACAGCAACCTCCAACTCCTGGGCTCAAGCAAGTCTCCTGCCTCAGCCTCCCAAGTAGCTGGGACCACAGGTGCCCGCCACAATGCCCGGACATTTTTCTGGTTGCAGCCATCATTGTTGTTTTTTGGCAGGTCTGGGCTGGATTCGAACCCACCACCCTAGGTGTATGTGGCTGGCTCCTTAGCCACTTGAGCCACAGGCACAGAGCCCCAGCTATTTTTTTCTTGCAGTTTGGCCAGGGCCGGGTTTGAACCTGCCACCCTCGGGATATGGGGCCAGTGCCCTACTCACTGAACCACAGGCACTGCCCAAAAGCTTTTATATTTTTTATACTCTGACCCAGCGATATCACCTATGGGACTTCTCTAAAACAGTGGTTCTCAACCTTTGGGTAGCAACCCACAGGAACTGTATTAAAGGGCTGCAGCATAAGGAAGGTTGAGAACCACTGCCTAAAGAAATAATCAGCAATGTGCATAAATATCTATATAAGCTATAGTCATTTCAGCATTGTCTATATCAGTGGTTCTCAACCTTCCTAATGCCACGACCCTTTAATACAGCCGACCCACGGGTTGAGAACCGCTGGTCTATATAGTATACAAAATAAAAGCAATCTACATTTCTTATAGCAGAGGAAACCTATACAATGGAATACTATATAAACATTATGTGATAGAACAATATTTAATGACATGAAAATTGTTGATAGTGTAATGCAGGTGTCCTCAAACTATGGCCCGTGGGCCACATGCAGCCCACCGAGGACATTTATCCGGCCCACCAGGTGTTTTTGCTGCTGCTGCCTGTCCTGCTTAGCAGCGGACTTGTCCTGGGGCCCACAGTCCAGCCCTCCAACAGTCTGAGGGACAGTGAACTGGCCCCCTGTTTAAAAAGTTTGAGGACCCCTGGTGTAATGCATTGTATTAGCCAGGGTTCTTCAGAGAAACAAAACCAACAAAATATATATATATCATTTATCCATCTATCTAGCTATTCATCTATCTATCTATGAAAACTTATATGGAACCAGCCCAGGTGCGGTGGCTCACACTGGTAATCCTAGCAGTTGGGAGGCTGACGCAGATGGATTGCCTGAGCTCACAGGTTCAAGACTAGCCTGAGCCAGAGCGAGACCTCCGTCTCTAAAAAGTAGCTGGACATTGTGGTGAGCGCCTATAGTCCCAGCTACTTGCAAGGCTGAGGCAAGAAGATCACTTAAACCTAAGAGTTTGAGATTGCTGTCAGCTAAGAGGCCATGGAATTCTACCAAGGATGACCAAGTGCGACTCTGTCTCAAAAAAAGAAAGAAAGAAGGAAATGAACCAAAATGCAATATACTACACTCATAATACCACCCCCACACACATAGCACCTTTTTCTTTGTTTGTTTGTTGGAGACAGAGTCTCAAGCTGTCACCCTGGGTAGAGTGCCTGTGGAATCATAGTTCACAGCAACCTCCAACTCTTAGGCTGAAACAATCCTCTTGCCTCAGTTTTCCTAGTTTTATTTTATTTATTTATTTATTTGGAGACAGAGTCTCACTATGTTGCCCTCAGTACAGTACTGTGACATCACAGCTCACAGCAACCACAAACTCTTGGGCTCAAGTGATCCTCTTGCTTCAACCTCCCAAGTAGCTGGAACTACAGGAGCCCCCCACAA